ACCAAGTTTATTATGTACCGTATCCTTTCAGAATGATCGCTATACAGACTTATGCGGCTGTTAGAAACATACAGGTTAGCTTTATTCTCTGCAATTGGAGTTTTGTTCTTTGGAAACCAAGTTACAGAAGTTATATTTCCAGACGTGATGAGTTTATTTAATTGCAGCAGACTCGAAATAAATAATCATCATAAATGGTTACTACTTGTGTACAAACATTAGGCTTTAAATGTTCAGACATTCCACAAGTTTCTTGTCTTTAGAGAAAATATTAATGAGATGGAGAATTAGATAAATCTGAAGTATCAACTATTTGCAGATGTGTCAGTTAGGCAACATGGAAAGTGGTGTCATTATGCAACAACCTTAGGCGCCACACCTAACACCATGGCGAAAGTACGAGAATAACACAACTGATGGTTTCAGGAGCCAATAAGTGTGCCCTGATATGAGTCACAAACAAAGATGAAAAAGTTACCAGACCTTCCCAGGTATCCAAAAATTCCTGGAGTGATGTCGATTCACGATGGAAAATTACTCTCAAATCGACCGATACCCACAAATCACCAGTTGAAATATAATATAACGGCTAAGTAGACAACGTTTGTGTGCAACTGCCATCCGTTCTGAGTCGCATTATCATATAACCAAAGATACTAGGTGTCATGCATACTAGGACCGGTAAGTTCGTTTTCCTATGCAACTCAGAGCAATAACTGCACTCCATGGGCAGACTTAAGTAATTTAGTTAAAAAAACGTTCAATAATAGTCTTAATAACACATGGTGGAAGATTACACTCACTGCAATCATCAGTTTGTACTTCCTATGGAGCATTGGAAGTGTCTCAAAATTGACTGAGAGGATAATAAGAAATATGAGAATGCTGCTAACGCAATGACACAGACTGGACACAAATAGTGACTGTTCTCCCTTAAATCTGATACTTCACTCAGCCCCGAAAATCGGAAGACAACACTGGGCTATGAATGTAAGAAAAACAATTTTATTTGACAAAAATACATCATTTATGCATATTTTTTCCTCAGAAAATAAACCCACTAGCGTCAGATACTTATTTTTGTTGGTGAGATGCAGGACAAAGTTGTCCAATAAAGTATTTCCTCTCCAAACAGTAACACGAAACAAGGTTGAAATCCAAAATTCTTACCTTACCGGTCGATGACTTAGAATTCTGCTTTCGATTTGGGCCGATATCTATCAATTTCAGTACTAGGAAAAACTCCGATTGGCTATCTATGTTGCTAAAGCAAGGTTAAACACACTATGAACAGCCTGAGAGAATAATCAGTTAAGAAGTCATTGGAAAATCAACCTAAAAAATTCTTCGTTTCTGTTTTCCCTGTTGAATTACAATGGAAAACAGAAACGAAGAATTTTTTAGGTTGATTTTCCAATGACTTCTTAACTGATTATACTCTCAGGCTGTTCATAGTGTGTTTAACCTTCAAGTAACTTCAAGTAAACGTTGAGAAGACAGAGGATATGAAGATACCTAACCAATAACAACAAGCACTCCTCACCATCAGCAGGAGAAACTTAAAGGAAGTAGTCTCCTTCATCTACTTATGCAGCATTGTTTCAACTACCAGTGACGGAGACACAGATGAGGATGTCAAAACCAACGAACGAAAAGATAGCAAGACTGGCCTTCATTAATCTGGAACCGATGAGGAGGCCTACTGCACTGCGCTCAGAATAAAGCGGGAACGAAATCCGGATTTTCAACACTAATTTAGCCAAGCCAAGGCTTCTGTGTGATGGCTGAGAGTCTTGGCACGTCAAGAAAGTCATTTCCAACAAAATAAAGACATGCATCAACAACTTCCGCCTACGCTGGATACTCAAGATCAGATGACCGGAAATAATAAACAACAAGGAATTCATTCTGGCTGGCTCGCAACGAACCGACCGAGAACCCACCACCCAACGAACATCCAGAAGAAAGTCGGGACGGATTGGGCATACACCGAGAAGACCATTCGGAGACATTATGCCCCAGGCCAGGCTGTGGGGTGAGAAGCAGAAGGGAAAGGACGAGTTGGTCGTCCGAGGCCAGGGTGACATTAGTGAGTTGGCATGAGGAAGAAGTGAAAGCTTGTAGGCATTCGTGTAGCCAGGTTGATAAGACTGCAGAGAAGAGAGTGAAATGGCGTCGTACCACTGAAGTCCTATGTTCCACTACGAACCCCAGGAACAAATAGTAATAATAAATACGTGCGTAATCTGTTTTGGCTCCCATGAAATGTCTGGAAACTGTAGCTTGTTTTTTATCTCTGTCTGATGATTCTGCCGTTAGAAAGGCAATCCAGTGTGTTTCTAACCATGTGATAAAAAACTAAACCACGCACCCACATATATATGGTTTACCAAAACACCTACTGGAGTTGCTTTCCATAGGACGATAGTCTTAGTTGACAGTAGTACACCCAATAAAATCGGGTGGTTCGACGGTTGCTTGACGTTTCTGGATGTTTACTATAATATCATGCATTCAATATCTGATGAATTCGGTTTCTAGTCTTATTATCGGTCTCCTTATCTGGACTAGCAGTGAGACAATCGTCAACGTAAAGGTGGATAAAATCCGGACCACAGAAGACATCATTCATAAGGAGCAGTAGTGCCTGTCTTACATTTCAAAGGCCAAAATGCGTGCTCAAAAGTTCAGAAAATGCAGATGGTGTAATAGCAGCTGTTGTCTAGATGTCTTCTGCCGCCATAAGTTTCTGACTGAACCAGTCCGATATTGGAAAATACGTCCATTCCGCCAAAACTGCTAATCAGCTAGTATGTATGAGATGTCAGCATGGTATCATTTTGACTTCAAGCCGTCGGTGAACACCAGTTGTTGCTTTCCTTGTTGGAAACCATAGAAATGTTGTTTCTCATGGACTGTTATACAGTTTGGTTGCCTCCGGTTCAGTCACGTGATAGAACTAGACTCCTGTTATTCTGACGTAGATGGCGTGCTCCTAATGCCACAGGAGGATCATCAGCTGTGATGTAACGCACATCACTGTGGCTTATGCATGGTTGAATATGCGGGTTTTCTCAACTCCGGATACTTGTTTGAAAATGTGTACTCCGCTTTAAATATGGCTAAACTTGGACCTACGCAAGCAGTCCCGCCAATGAATAACTTCGTGTTATTATCTGCCAGTCGTCGCCGACGAGCGTCATTTAAGTAGGTTGTAGCGAATCTATGCCAGTGATAGGCATAGAAACACCAAGTGGAATAAAACCTCAGTGGGTAGGTTTGCGTAAACCTAACACCCAATTTTCTGACTACACCTTTTAACGGATCCTTGCTGGATGGTAACAACAGTCTTTTGACAGTCATCCACTTCTTTTTCCTTCCGAACATTTCCTTGCATGGGTTGTACTGGATAACTATTGCCTAACACTTTTAATAAAGTGTTCACACCTATGTACTGATCGACGGAGCATATTGGTTTGAGGAGCTGAGAGAAAATTCTAAAATCTCACTGAGTTGGCTCTCAAAAGGTCACAGTTGTAGCCTACTATCCCTTGGATTTTGAAACAAGCATGTATTTCCCCCACGTTATTTCCCGTTTCTCCAAGCAAGAAGGACGGGACACCTAAAATAACTGTTACTGACCACAGTCGAAAGTACTTTGGTAGTCGTAGGACCTTCTGAAGTGGCCTGAGAGAAGAGGCATAAACACTGCGACTACATTGGGGACAGAATTATTACGTCACGTGCATTTTTAAGATTTCAGGACTGCTGGTTGATAAAATCAAAGTACAAGTAAATCCCAGTTGACCTTCCGAGAAACAATTGCTGACACCAATATGGTTAAAATACTCTGGCAATGATAAGCTTCAGTAACAGACTGGGGCTTTGTCCATGAGATTAGCGAATTCCACAGTATCATCGCAACACTCGTGGATTAGAAGTAAACCCTACACACACGTTCCCCGAATTTTCTTTTAGAATTTCATTCATTCATATGTCATAAAATAATATCCCACCAAGTTTATTATGTACCGTATCCTTTCAGAATGATCGCTATACAGACTTATGCGGCTGTTAGAAACATACAGGTTAGCTTTATTCTCTGCAATTGGAGTTTTGTTCTTTGGAAACCAAGTTACAGAAGTTATATTTCCAGACGTGATGAGTTTATTTAATTGCAGCAGACTCGAAATAAATAATCATCATAAATGGTTACTACTTGTGTACAAACATTAGGCTTTAAATGTTCAGACATTCCACAAGTTTCTTGTCTTTAGAGAAAATATTAATGAGATGGAGAATTAGATAAATCTGAAGTATCAACTATTTGCAGATGTGTCAGTTAGGCAACATGGAAAGTGGTGTCATTATGCAACAACCTTAGGCGCCACACCTAACACCATGGCGAAAGTACGAGAATAACACAACTGATGGTTTCAGGAGCCAATAAGTGTGCCCTGATATGAGTCACAAACAAAGATGAAAAAGTTACCAGACCTTCCCAGGTATCCAAAAATTCCTGGAGTGATGTCGATTCACGATGGAAAATTACTCTCAAATCGACCGATACCCACAAATCACCAGTTGAAATATAATATAACGGCTAAGTAGACAACGTTTGTGTGCAACTGCCATCCGTTCTGAGTCGCATTATCATATAACCAAAGATACTAGGTGTCATGCATACTAGGACCGGTAAGTTCGTTTTCCTATGCAACTCAGAGCAATAACTGCACTCCATGGGCAGACTTAAGTAATTTAGTTAAAAAAACGTTCAATAATAGTCTTAATAACACATGGTGGAAGATTACACTCACTGCAATCATCAGTTTGTACTTCCTATGGAGCATTGGAAGTGTCTCAAAATTGACTGAGAGGATAATAAGAAATATGAGAATGCTGCTAACGCAATGACACAGACTGGACACAAATAGTGACTGTTCTCCCTTAAATCTGATACTTCACTCAGCCCCGAAAATCGGAAGACAACACTGGGCTATGAATGTAAGAAAAACAATTTTATTTGACAAAAATACATCATTTATGCATATTTTTTCCTCAGAAAATAAACCCACTAGCGTCAGATACTTATTTTTGTTGGTGAGATGCAGGACAAAGTTGTCCAATAAAGTATTTCCTCTCCAAACAGTAACACGAAACAAGGTTGAAATCCAAAATTCTTACCTTACCGGTCGATGACTTAGAATTCTGCTTTCGATTTGGGCCGATATCTATCAATTTCAGTACTAGGAAAAACTCCGATTGGCTATCTATGTTGCTAAAGCAAGGTTAAACACACTATGAACAGCCTGAGAGAATAATCAGTTAAGAAGTCATTGGAAAATCAACCTAAAAAATTCTTCGTTTCTGTTTTCCATTGTAATTCAACAGGGAAAACAGAAACTTCATACAGGGTAAGAAAATCTTCACGTCCGATTATGTTTGCGTAAACGTTACAAGCATTTAGTCAACGACGAGGTAATGTCGTTCTGTTAAAGGATGATAAATACGAGACAAACGGCAACAAAATCTTCATGAAAAAGGGGATAACATACAGGATGGTAAAATAGTGAGCTGATCCAATCCACATCAATATTTATGGATGAAATCATCAAGGGAGAAAACAAGATAACTAAACCAATGGTATCAGTTTTAACGAAAGTGAAACTACGAAAAAGGCGGAGGAATTAAGATGTTTCACGCCAACATTTCCCGTGGTTAGGCATTATTTGTTCTCTACTCTACTACCGCACGTTCATTATTGAGCCTCATCTGGAACCTTCAACTTGTCTTTCTCTGTACAATTACAAATTTTGCCAGTCACTGTAGATATCAACCAAAAGGCTCACACAACTCACCTTATTAGTCAGATATCTCCAAAAACCTGGGCCACACTTGCATTTGACCACTTTCATATAATCAACGGGAGAAGCTTAAAGGAAGTAGCCTCCCCCACCTATCTGGCCAGCACTGTTTCAACTACAGGCGGCACAGACGAAGACATCAAAGCCAGGATCGGAAAGGTAAGATAGGCGTTCCTTGGCCTGAAACCAGTGTGAAGATTTTCTGCACTCAGCATGTGGAACAAGATCCGGATTTTCAACACCAACGTCGAGTCAGTGCTCCTGTATGGTTCAGAGACTTGGCGCGTTATGAAAGGCATTTCCAACAGACTACAGATATTCATCAACAACTGCCTACGCTGACTCATTACTGAAGATCAGATGACCAGAGAGAATAAGCAACAAGAAACTCTGACTTGGCGACGAACCAACCAAGAACCTATCACTCAACAAATATGCGGAAAGAAGTGGAGATGGATTGGATTGGGCATACACTGAGAAGGCCGACTGGGGACATCACGCACCAGGCCAGGTACTCGAGTGGAATCCAGATGGCAAACGAAAGGTTGGGCGTCCCAGCTGAGGGTGACATGGAGGAGATCGTGTGAGGAGGAAATGAGGGCTTGTGGGCTGTCGTGGAGCCAGGTTCAAAAGATTTCAGAGGACAGAGCGCATTGGAGACGTGCTACTGAAGCCCTATGTTCCATTAGAAACCATAGGGACAAATAATATTAATAAATGTAATCATTATGCAGTGAACCGGTCTCATGATTAAGATTATATGATCAAACGCAATTATAAGATATATCAAATTATAACCTCGTAAAGACTAAAAATGTACAGAACTATATGAAAACAGATAAAAGGTTGAAAATAAGCCATATTAACAGTGCATTGAAAATCACAGAAACACTCTGAGTAAGAAATGAAGTAGCGTGAATAAAACGACATATAAAGGCAGTATACGATTTTGAAAAGAAAAAAACCTTGTCAGATTAATGGACATGAAAGTGAAACTAGTAAAATACATAAGAATACAATAAATGTCATGCACGAGACGACTAAAGTTAACAAATCTAGATAAGATTTAGTGTAGTTATCAGTTATGTGAACAGTCAAAGATTATGAATCGTCATCGACTTGACCAACTGCTGGATTTCTTTGAGCAGTATCTGAATCATTTCCTTCTTCTCCTTCACCATCAGATCTCATATCTGGTTGTGTCTCCTGGTTACCATTTAAACCGCTGGAACTGTAAACAACTGTACATAAAGTTATGTCAGGTTCACAATTAGATGTGGAGTTGAAATTTTGCGGTTGGTCGATAGCTGAATCATTAATACTGGGTACAATACATCCAGGAGTATCGGGTAGGTGCAGAAACTCGACGACTGAAGTGGTACATGTAACGTCTGGTTTTACAGAAGCACCAAGGTGAACGGGACCATCACATAGGTTTTTAGCATTAGAATCATCTGAACTGAGATGTGATTGAGATGCTTCGCCACTGACAAAAGTATGTGATACTTCTTGCATCGAATGTTCTCGCTAATAGATAAGGAGAAGTAAAACAGAGAGAAAATCTTGCTTGTTGGGGAGGGGATTGAGACAAAACATGTAACACATACAAACATACCAAAATTTGATTCTATTAGCATATTCATGCTGACACGCGTTAGAAACGCTTTGATGCATTCATATCAAGAACACATAAGTATATTGTATCAAATTTAGGATCACATTTCTGATCTTAACAGAAAAAGTAAACAAAAATGGACACCTATCATCCTAACGACAGATTAGTCGAAGGCAACTGCTCAAAAAGGTGTACACGATTCAACTTCAATACATAGTTAATCGTCAAAAAGTGTGAGGGAACTAACAACAAATAGCCAATAAAAGCTCGCTATGAATGAAAATAAGACATGGAATCCAAATGAGCCTATTCTCTGGTTATGTAGTCATTTAAGTGAAATTAATGAAGTAGACGAGCTGTAACGAGCCGGCATGAAAGGTGTCTCTCCAATTACCTCACCCTCCCTACTTCAACGATAAAGTCACCTACCATCATGACTACATCTCAACGTTTTGCTTTCTGTAGCGAAATTAACAGACACAAATAGAATTCATCCTTTGCATCATCCCAGATACAGTCACTGGGTGCGTAGGCGGCAGAGATTACGAATACACATCACCTAGTCTCACACTACATCCTATTACTTACACATACATTCAGTCGAACAGCACATTGACATCATTCAGCCGACAAGCTCACTTTATGCTCTACAAATCAATGCTATGTCTACACCACCGAGTCCATGAGACCTAGCTATTGGGTCTCACGATAATCTCAAGGTCAATTCTCAAAATTCACCACACTAGTCAGGTGAGGTCAATTTCATAACCACACTTCAGTCCTCTCTGTACACGTGTCTCAGAGACACAGCATACATCCATGGTTAGAGATTCAAGAGTTCTGGTGAACAGTGATGCCTGCTGTCCGAATCGGCATACAGTTCGGATGCTGAAAGCTCCTACATGAAATCGATGACAGGGTGTAAGAAAACTAGGAATAATGAGGTCCCGATGGATTTGATCCTTCCCAATGGTTGCAGAGTCAGAGGTTGAGGAAAGTGTAAGAGGCTTATAGTGGGGTCATAGGGTCATAGTGGAGTGTGTTATTTTTAGGGCTAAGCTTTTCTGATCCTCCTTTCCGTTGAGAAGGCAGTATCAGCGTGGAAACGTTGGTCATCCAAAGGAAAAACTTTACTGCTGTCACACTCCAGTCAGCCAGTTGTACGATTTCACCCTCAGACCCCCATTGTAGTGTAGTAATTTACACTACGACGGTAACTGCTTTTCGTCACACTACTGTATAACAGACCTTTCAGGAATGGTAGAACCTCGAGGGAATAGCCAACATAGTTTGTTGGCTCATTGTGATATGAAAGCCCGACGATCACGTGAAGGTAGAAGCTACCAGTCGGGGTATAATGTCCCCCCTCTAGATCAAGATAAATCGAAGGCATATGTCAAGAAGTATTTATCTGTTCCAAAACCTTAAGGAGGTTGAAGAACGAACTATCTTTTCCCGCAAATTATGTTATTTTTGTTTTTTCAGAAACCGATAACTGTAAATGGTGTCATTCGCAAACGGCATATTTAGTTAACTTCCTTCGGATACAAGTAAAAAGTAGATTCTACATATTACATACGACAAGATTACCGATTCGATGATGTCAGTATATGATAGCTGGTACTTATAGAATGTGATACATTACATCAGAGAGTAGTGAAAACTTCTCACCCCCATGAAGCTCCCCATATTTTTAGACTCTTTACAATACACAAAAAGAAAAATACATACATACGTCATATTATTCCATACAAACGACTGGACTGCAACGCATAAAACTGTTTCGTGTTTACTACATTATGAAATGAATAGACTACAACAAAAGTACCTGTTTGCTAACGTGAATAATGGCATGAACTTCTTATCTATGGGACGTGATTGCCTCATCCAATGAAACATAGCTGAGACCAATACATTCACTTCATTCTATCTAGCGGTGATGATAGATAAATTAACTATTAATATGGTATAGAAGTAGTATTCATCATGGACTGATGTCAGTTGAGGAACCAATGAAAATTTGGGAGCATTGGACAGCTGTTTCGTCCTAGTATGGAACTCCTCAGCAGTACGCACAAAAGACCCAGCTAGGGATCGAACTCACAACATTCATGATGACTACTATTTCTAAATTAAAAAAATCCCCATTCATCTCAAAAATATATTATATGGTAGTTTGAATTATTATTATTATTATTATTATTATTATTATTATTATTATTATGGTTAGTAAAGACAATGAAATCCTAAATCAATAATCAATTCAGCCAAGTTATATTACATAAAAACATCCCAAATGATTGTTTATACATAGGTGCATAAAACAATAATAAATATCTTACCGGATTATTCATTTCACAGAATGAAGATGGTAGTTTTTGGTCATTAATCGAAACCGTTACTCTATCTCCTTGATGAACAGCTTGAGTTTGGTAGTTATCAAGGTTATATCTAAATGCACACATAACATCAGTATTACGTGAATGTGGGATAACAGGTCTATACCATCGGCATACTGTATCAAATGTTTGTTTATTCCGGCAAGGTGACAAATCCGTCAAATGTTGAACAGGTATATTTTGTACTGTTCGGGGAAAGTTATTTAAAGTTGTTATACATGCGCTTTCTGTAACAGCTGAGGAACAAGGTCTGACTTTGGCAACTGGTATAGGAAAAGAAGTGGTTGGATGAATAGGTAACCCGATATCAGATGGGAGAGAGGTAGAGTCATTTGAAGATACAATACATGAATTCGGTCTTAATTCCTTTGAGTCAGTCGTCAAATTGCCCAAGAAATTATGCAGTTTGCGATTAGGACGGGTGGAAAAGTTGCTCAAATCACCATTTTCTCCAGTAAGATCCCCAAATGTAGTTAAAGTATCATGTTCGTCAGGTGAATTACTGTCTAGACCTACATTGGCCGTATAATCTACATTACGAACAACTTCTGTGGTATTATCTACGAGAATAGCATCACCCTGTGCTTCCGTAAGAGCGGTATGATCATGCAGTGAAACTGGATCATCACCAGGGGTGGTAGTCTGTGAAGAACTATAAACATATGGATTTTCTACAGTAGAAAATGCAGATGGATTTGATATAGGCCGGAATATGTTATCTGAACTGAGACGATTGATTGCACCAACCGATCTGAACAATTCATGTTTGCATGATGAAGATGAAGTACATTCTGGAGCGGAATGACGTGTACCAGATACTAAAGTAGGACTGCTACAGCTGCTTCTTTCAGATCCCAGTAGTTGAGTTGACAACACACTTGGCTGATCGAAATGAGTAGTATTTGCATGCGAACAGAACTCATTTATGTCAATATTACCACATTCATTTACCGCATAATGAGTTTCCTGTGGAGTGGTAACTTCTGAATTTGCAGTAGATTCAATATTTTGAATGTCATAGTTTTCTTCAATTGTAGATGCTATATTATCCAAAGGATGATGAAGTGTGTCAATATGGTTAAACAATGGATTGTCAACTTGTTCCGATACGTTTGGTATAGGTGTAGAGTGCAGAGTATTATGTGGGTCGCACATTAAAGGTTTACCAAGTGACCTATGATTTCTTGAAATACGCAATCCTCGTGAAATATTTGGGAACCGCATACTTGTAGGATTCCAAACATTAATATTACGCCGAAATAGTGTAGATGCAGTCAATGAAAGTGAATGCTTAGGGAATTTTGACGTTCGCATATCTATTCCACCGACAGCAGCCGCACTCGATAAGATATTTTGTCGTGATGACTGATTTTGGTCGTGACGACTAGACCTAGAACAACTGGAAGATGGGTGGGAATTTCTAGGAGGTTGTGAGTTGACCACACACATGTTACCACTTGATGAAGGATTACTCGATTGTGAAGCGTTGTGAATAGTTTCAGCATTCATTGATGAAAGTACAGTTCGACTGGATGGATGGGACGGAATACCTTCGAGTGAAACATCTTGGAACGTAAATGGATTAGCATAGCCCACTGATGCCTGCGGAACCATAGGCATAGTACTGATCCGATTGACATTAGCATCATTTGAATGCCGTGTGGTAGTAGTTGACTGATTTAATGTTGGATGAGGATTGACAGAAACAGATGAAACAGTTGATAGTGTTGATTGAACACCACTGCAATTAAGGAAACTTCTTGATGTTGTAACTGTAGTAGGTGTATCTTGATTGAGGCAACATACTGGTAAACGGACAACACACATACCAGTGTCACATCGTTCATGATTCATTCTACTTTCTTCATGAAGACACCATGCATTTTCAATGGGGTCATAAGACTCCACAGTATCCAGTAAACGATTTCCGTTATAACTAGAAAAAAACAAGAACATTTTTCTGACTGAAATACGATTAACATTTTAAGGGAAGTTATCCAATTTTCCCCTTTAATTTGAGCATATGGAGAATATCAAATAACATTAAAGTCATAATGAGAGAGACCAAATAATATCCAATTAAAGAAGAGAGAGAGAGAGAGAGAGAGAGGGAGGGAGAGAGAGAGAGAAAAGCTGACCAGTTTTTATGTAACAAGTCTGTTTATGAATATACACATTAATATGACACTTGAAATAGTCAGACATGAACTCAGCACTGACTATGAACTTGGTATTAGAACCAGAATTTCGATTGAAGAAATCATGCTAGGGATACGATTATGTCTAACTTTTCTATGGTCTTCAAATTTCAAAAAAATATACATCAATAAACAGAAGGAGTAGCGGTAGGATCACCAATATACCTAATCATAGTAGATATATTCATGAAGAGGTTGAGAACAAATGGCACTAGGAACACTCCAAACCCCAAACCCCCGTGGCTGAAAGTATGGTGGCGATATGTAAGATGACACGTTTACTGTGCTGAATTCAAAACACATCCAGAGTTTTTCACATACAAACTAGGTGCAATTCAATCGACTTACGAAATTGAAAATGAAGGAGAACTACCTTTGTTGGGTTGCGAAATCAAGGGAAGAAAAGAAAGGAATTTAGATACTGGGGTTTATAGGAAGCTATTACACCTGAATAGATAGTTGTATTTCTCACCAAATATCTGTCACGGTAGCTCTGGTAAAATGTCTTATTAATTGGGGCAGGAGTTTGGTTACTAAGTGAGTAAATCTAAATAGGGAACAAAAAACACATTGAAGAGACACTACCACTTAATAGCTACCTTCTGAACTTATAGGAGAAGGAGAGACAATACTAGTGATGAAAGCAATATGCCCAGGATGGAGTTGAAATCCTCTGAAATGTTATCATATGAAGAAGGCTTATGGGAAATTTTGCGCAGAATTATCAACAATGTTGGAGTAGGGTGACATTTGAACTTACAAACTCACTTGGAGGAAAACTTTGTAGGTTAAAATTAAATTGAGCAAAATAACCTGATCTATTAAAAACCATGTAATGATTGTGAAGTCAAGTACATAGGTGAAAGTAGCCGATTACGATCAGTCAGGAGAGTAAAGCATAAAATTTGGTAAAACCTAAAGTGATAAACCCTTCCCCCACAAGGTAATTAATTTAGACAGAAATTCGACTATCGCTTTGCATGCACCAACCTATAACCGCATTATATATAGGGTGGTAGAGGGAGATATTGATTATAGAATCTTTGTTTATCGAATGAACACCTAAGGCACGATACAGGAATGATTCATCATATATTACCAGGTATCTGGGAATTGTAAGTACCATTAAAATAAAAGAATGAAGAACTGCTGGACCTTAAAAGTGAAGATTGAAAGTCGTATGATAACTTTGATGCGAATGTGAGCAGTAAACTCTGCTGGAAACTTCATCCAGTAAATTATACTCTAAGACGGTGCCCAAGTTTTACTTTTGCATTATTGGTAATGAGATTTAAGCCTTAGCAAAATAATAATCTTCAATTATTGATAGTTCAATTTCTCAAACCAGCAAAGAATTCATAATACAGGAATTAGCAACAATATGTGTGTGTGTGTGTGTGTGTGTGGCAACTTGTTTTCCTCATGCATTTCGTCTTCAATGTCAAATTCAGATATATAAATCTACTTTTTAAATCTTAATTGTTGATGAAAGTAGTGAAGCTGTGGCTTAGTTGTGTTTAGGCACTTAACTTCCAATTACCGCTTGGTCACTTGTTAAAGTCCCGTTCTAATTACCCAAGTTTTAGGGTAGTAGTATCAGTAGTCTTCATGAAATAGGCGTAGTTTATAGCTTACTGTACAAACATGTATATGGTTGCTGAGTGTATTTTGTTCGTTAATGGAAGTGTATTGACCAAACCTCTTTAAATTCACATTCATTGTCTCCATAGAAAAATATTGTTTACCAATCGTTAAATAATATACCTTCTCCAACAAACTTTATTCATCATATCTAACACAATCAAGTTACCAAACATCAGATATATGAATTCATTCAGTAAACAAGTTGTAAATGCTACCAGATTTTCTGTAACGGTTATGAAAACGATCTCATTTGATGAACATCACTATCTTAAAGTTATGTTAATTTCAACAAAGCATATGTAGTTCAAAGAAGGAGTTGTTGGAAGGCCCCAAAATTTGCGTAAGACATTATTTTAAATTGTCGTCTTCCAGACATTTTTGAGCCATAGTCAGTAGTTCATTTTTTTGCCCATATTTCCACGATAATTTGCTGATTGATTAATACCTACTTTTACTGTGTTGATGTTTAAAATTCTGAACAAAGTCGTGTGTCATGTATGTATACACACACATATTTCTGAGCTAATCATTCCATCCAGTTTAGTTTTCTTCTCTATTTCATCTGGGTTGAGGTCAGTGGATCTTGCGTACGAAGTCAGCTGTCAGTCAAGTGTGTGTATTATACCCTCAGGGAAGATATAACAGAAATGAATTCATTTACTTCGTAGAAAGTACGATTCCACTCACCGTAAATAACCAGCTTTGACTTGACAATCAGACAGGTTAATATTGCAATGCTTTGATAGATACACGTTAGCAGTCAAACGTTATAACATGAAGTCTCATCTCAGTACATTGTGACAACCATAACCATACAGTTGACTGTAATAATTTCGAAATAATTGAACGAGCAAACTCGAAAGCGACCATAGAATTTTTCGAGGTTTACCACTCAAGTAAGTAGCAACAAATCGCTACATCAACCTACATGTAACGTGTAAGCTTATTTTAAACAAGTCAATGACAGGAATTAAGCATTCCAAATACATGAAGGTCCTTGATAAAATCAGGTAGATCATAAATCAATTAGATTAAGACAGTGTAAGTATTCTCCTGGACTGAACTAGTCCCTATAGGGATATATCCCTTTACTTTTAGTAAATCAACCAATTAGGGCAAAGCGTCCCGCTACAGTAGAGAAGAGTTCATCTATCAATAAAAGCGATCTCAGTGTACTGCGTTCAAGCATGCCCCACATGCTGAACAGCCAGTAAGGTTGGACCCGGCTGCAGTAGCAGGCTATAGATATTCATGCATAGTCAACTTTACTTTCCTGTGAAGCATTGATGAAGATGTCTGAAATGACAATGAGACTTTTGTTCACAGAAACCTTAGCTAAGAAGACAACTGAATCTGAACAGAGTTATATATAATTTAAGATAGTGAGAAGGAGTACCCTATGACAACTACTGTTACCATAAGAAGTCTAACATAAAGAAAATACGTTATAAAGCAGGATGTAATATGTTATTGTTTTAGAAAAAAATGAAATTTAAAATAAGGGAAGCTAAATGGCCAAAACATTTATCTAAGTCATCAGGCATTTGACGTCATATTGAAGGTAACAGCGACGTGATAGTGCCCAGTTGTAGAAAGTGAAGGTGCCAAATCATACGGAGAATAAAAAGATTTGAATGCTTACTAAGAGGATGCGCACTTACATATAATGTTCCCAATATCTGCTTGTCATGTAAGGCCTAGGACCAGGTAGGCAACTAACTATAAGTGTGAAAAAGGTGGATGGCAAGTGAATTATTGATCGAATGGTTTACTGGAGTGGAAAGCTAAGAAAAGGGTCAGTTCGCCCCCCCCCACCCAACAGAAATGCAACTCAGTAAACGGAAAACGGGAGGTATGGGAATGATCACTTACCCAGCTGCAACATAGATCTTACCGGCCAGTGGGCAAGCCCCAACATAGCAACGAGGAACATTCATGCTAGTAATCAATGTCCACTGAGCTAATCGTGTGTTGTAAGCTTCCACAGTATCCAAATGTAATGGACCACGACTCTCAGCTCCACCGTAACCACCACAAACATATATAGTTTCTCCCAATAAAGCACAACCAGCTCCTGATCGACGCATATACATTGGTTTACAGACTGACCAAGTACCAGAGTGAAGATCGAAGCTAGTTATAAAGCGAAAAATTGAAGCAAGTCAATAAAATCTTGAAAATTGATAAAAAGTGAATATCGCAGGTAAAAAAATTGAAAGGAAAATGCTTCTGAAAATGGATGTTTAGCTAATCCCTTTGTAGATCGTCAACACTGATAATGAAGAAAGTATCAACAGGAAGAAACACGAGTAGCTGTATTGTATGCTACTGATAGAAAAAGCTTGTAATTCGTAGCTACTGACACGATACCTTTGTTAGAATTGACGAGAGCAGATAATCGACTGGTGAAAGCTCTTGAAAAAGGAACGATGATAATTGGGTTAGCAATACAAAAAGCGGGAAGAAGAAGTGAAATAAGCCTAAACAGAATGGAGCTCTATGAGAACAAATAATAACTGCATAAAGGAAGTTCATTAAAAAGATGTACTAAATGTAATATACTAAGGAAATAATCCTCCAGTGCAACCACCGTTATCCCCATCACGATTATCTCCATTTATAGAAACAATACTTAGTTGATACACCAAACGTATCAATAGGTAAACTTGGCAATCGGAATCAATGAAAAAACGGATAAAATACTGATATTACAACAAAAACAAGTGTACTATGCAAGCAATTACTGATGCTGTAGATGTGAGTTGTTCTCTACTGTGAGCTACGGTTTTAGTTGGAAACTTCAAAACGTAAACTGAAAAGTAGTTTCAGAATTCTCAAAGGCCTGGAGCTCAAATAAACTAGCAACAAATCTCCATATCGACCTAGACGCGATAAAAAAAACCGTTTAAAACAAATCAATTACATGAACTAACCGACCTAAATGCATGGAAAACGTCGACGTAACTAGACCAAGATAACTTACTTATGACTACCAAACTCTTGTGCATGGCCAATTAATACAAAAGGAATCTTCATCTACAGTAAAATCTAAGCAACCAGTAGTAGCAACGAATAGGTTTTCACTGGCAGCAAACCGACCAGTCAGTGTGAAGCACTCCCTTCAATAGGTACTAGTCAACTAATCAGATCAAGACAACCTTCATCACTTTAGTCAAACAAGTTTCAACCAGTCGATCGTAGCAACCCTCATCAATTCATATATCAAGCAATCATAAAACAGTGACCTTAAAGTGTCGCGATCAAGCAGGAGAGAAATCAACCAATCATATGATTGTAAGAATTCCTCTGAGAAAACTAGAGGCAAGAAGCTAACTAGTCAGCTTCAGCATACACCAATACACTCACCAAGCGGTCGAACAGGTTACACTGAAGCAAAGTAGTATGTTACAAACACTTATGCATAACCGATTACTTCTCTTTCTTGTGAGGGTCTTATGCACTGATGAAAATGTCTAGCCAACTAAAACATTAGCTTGGAGAACAACTAGTTCTGGATAAAGATGTGTTTACATAACAGTGTTGAAAAATCATATAAAAAGGGACAGTCTGAAGAGTAATAGAAAGTCACACTACAACAAGTTGTACAACTTCTCCATCGGACCGCATCATAATGTGGCTTATTATATTATGATAGTAACTTCTTTTCGTCTTCAGAATACCTAACAGACCGCTCTGGTGTGGAAGAACCTCGGAAATCCAGCGCCACATCCAACAAATGGAAATCTGTCCAGTAACCTTGCGCATATTCGGGCAGTAGACGGTGAGCCACACCTATTGTGTGAGGGCTGATGGCACCACCTGGTTGCCCGGATCTCAGTGTATGGAGCGGTGTACAGACCATCGACTCAGTGGTTGAAAGTTGACTGTCTAATTTAATGAGTCACAACTCCACATCCAACGACATAATTAGGACGTGAAATATTGGGCTTACTGAACACTAGCGGTCCGTTTGATTCAGTGAATGTGCATCACTAGATCTTCCGAAGCTCTATTACTTTTGAGAATACAGTATTTTATTAGTAGATGAAATGTGCCGCTGAAATCGATATAGAATGTTAGAGTGATCAGCTATTATTCAATAATACTACTAAAATAAATAAAGCTCTTTCAGCAACCCGTGCATGTACGTGCACTAGAGCAATGAGCCACATTCAATGTGTGAAGGTAAACGATACTAACTCGCAGAGCAAACTTTTCTAAGCAGAGGGGTGGTCAAACCCGTGGCCCACTGGTTGAAGTTCAAATAAAGTACTCCATCATTTCCTAACTGGTTGGAACTATTTTGTTTTATTTTAACTTGTATGGAGATTTGGACATATATCACATTACCTTTCAAAAGTTTGTCTTAGGTTGTCAAAATATGACAAACATTTGAATAAATTAGGTGCTACAAAAATTGTTATTCAGACTTACGATTCCATACTGTTCAGTAAATGAAAACCATCATAACCTCCTAAGCAATATAGGGTGTCATCGAAGACTACAAGACCAGCTCCTTCACGTGCTGTCGTCATCTCTTCCAAAATTCTCCACTCATGAATTTTTGGATGATAAACTTCTAATGATCGTAGACGTGACTGACCATCGAAACCACCACAGACATAAATTAGGCCTGAAACACACATAAAAGTAAAGTTTATTTGACTAGAACAACTTAACAGATATACAACTTTTGACCAACAAACAACGAAAGTAGCTCATGGTACAGTAGGGAAATGTGATCGAAAGTATAGTTGATTGTTTTCCGGGAACACCTTTTGGTAATCTAGTACTGAATTAAATAGTCGATAAAAAAACTCAACTCTTTTTTACAATTCTAAACACAACGATCCATTCTTTGAACATGATTCATGGCCCCATTGATCAAAAGTCTACCATCTATTCCACAATTACGAAACCAATCAGTGGTACAAGGTATTTAACTGCAAAATATGTTTTTCGTTACTTTATTCTACATAGTTTACTTGAGTATTGGTGATTTCTTTTTAGTAGTAATGTTGTACGTTATATATTTTTGAGATGAATGAGGATTTTTAATTTACAAGTAGTATTCATCATGGACTGACATCAGTTAGGGAACCATTGAAAATCTGGGAGCACTGGACAGTTGTTTTGTCCTAGTATGAGACTCCTCAGCAGGTATATATTTAAACTGGTTTGAAAATGTAAAATACAGCTTTACATCAGTTATTAAGAATTTATTTGCTGTTCACTAAAGTACACATTACCTTTGATTGGCTGGATGTTATCTAGAGATTATACTATAATTATTATACTCTGGCTACATCTTTAAGTATACATGACTGAGTAATTTCATCAATATTCTAATGTAGAATATATCCACGCAGTTAGTTGTCCAACAGTCTGATTGATGCTATAATAGGGTTTAATGACCTCTTTTCTGTACCATTCAGGACCGCTAAAATCTTTTAGATTCTTTAACGTAATAATGCCTGTAAACTGGCTTCTCTCATGTTAACTTCATAATGTTAGAATAAAACATTTATTATTATTATTATTATTATTATTATTATTATTATTATTATTATAACAGTCTGATGGATTGTTATTCATTCAGTGGTGAGTCAAGGTATCGAAGTGTGAGCTAAACTGTTGACTTCAGCCACCCAGTTTACTTAGTTAACCAGATATCATTAGTTCAGTATCCTGGTCAACCCAAGTATTATAGATGAAAGGAAACAAGATTTTGAGATGATGGGAATATTTGTAGTTCAGGAGAATAATTTTTATCTTCTCTGAGCTGGGACTGCTTCTTAATCGTGGAGCTTTCATTGTAATTGTCGACATCATCAGCAAAAACTACAGAAAGACGCGAGTGGTAACGTCCTCTCCGTAATTTACTTAGTAGTTTGTCCTGATGGCCTTGTATGTGATTGGTTGCTTTCCCCAAGGTCTTGTCACTAGCTGCATGTTCATTTTGATTGGTTGTCTTGATGACCTGAAATTTGATAATCTTGTTTCTTATTGATTGATAGATTGGGTCAGCGTCAACATGTCAGTTGATTATTGACTGACCTGAACACCAAGCTTCTAAAACTTCTCTGGTATTCTTTGTATTTCCTAACCCATCCCAGTCTAATTCATGTCTACAGTTGTCTGTGTGCATTGATATGACCGAAGATATGTCATGACGCTTCACTGCTAGTGTTCATGTAGACGAACGCAAAGAGGGCGACCAGTATGTTCGATGTAGTGTTTTTCACAGTTTCTGCAGTTTATTTTGTAGATAATATATGATTATAGGATGACAGGTAGTCAAAACCCGTGTTTTCATTTTAGTTCATACTACATTTGGCATAGGGGGTGTATCTTAAATCACATATGACACAAACAGCCTTGAAGCGGAATAATTATTCAATATTCTAGTGTAAAACAGAGTTTGACAATTCAAGAATAAGTGTTTTGTCAACAAGATCCAGTCCAAGTAAGCTACGGATTTCTGAAAGTAGTGGGTTATCTCATATGCCTAACAGTAAATAAACACTTTTCTTGTATGATATAAATACCCATTAAAATTACGAATATGAGAAAAATTTTACATGAGGGATAACTATAGCTGAACGAATACTAATTTTTAACCACGGTTAAATCAGCTATCTTAGGCTTTCGGGCTGGAGATTTTCTTCAACTACGATCATTATCCTACCTAGGCAGGATTAGAACTAACTGAATACACTGTACTGAGTACTTTCTAAGACAAAAAGTGAGTATAAACAATCAGTGTTGACCAGGGTCCATCAATTCTTCAGCCTAAAAAAATTAATTTCAATAATTAAATATTCCCTTTGAGTTGAAAACGAAGAAATGCTTCAGTGAACAATCATTTTCAGCGATATTCTTCTCAGGAACCTAAAGTTAACCTTCTTAGGTTCTTCTATTACGATTACGTATACGTTTTAGGGTCGGTGGCAAAACTGAAGTCAACACCGTGTCAGCTAGTAGAGCGACGAGTTGGCGATCTGAATAACTCCTGCTCGTATTCTGTAGTTACTCGTGCCTTCTTTTCACTTTCAATAACCATGACATCAGTTTTTAGGTTAGTTACAAATATTCCCGTTCTTTTCCATGCTAAAAACTGTTGAATGACTTTGTGAGGCAATTTTCAATTAGTAACTTCAACTCAAAAAAATGTATACTGCCAAATATCTTCATTTATTTGAGAAAACTTCTCTTCCTGTATTATCTTTCTGATCAAAACCTACCTATAACTTCTGATACTTTACCCTGAATAAGCACACTTACTACATCGAAATGTAATTGAACAGAATCGGAGAACAAATCTGTTACCTAACGTTCTTCCGCATACAATGAGCAAGAAATCATAACCTTTTGACAAACTCCACAGAAAAATATTCACCCAACACGAAATTAGTTAACCGTAAGTAATTCAGTTTCTGAGGTGTACGGACGCAAAAGAATTATCCAATGAAAACCGACTTAGCGACCGGATCACTACAAAATATTTGCCAAAAATATTTACCTACTAAAATGCATCCTTCGCATATTCCAAACTGCAGTTAGTGAACGAGTATGTAGAGATTACGAATGGACGCTGATGAGTGCTATTTGCATTCCCAATTATTACTATTCCGTTCAGTCGGATAGTGCGCAGACGACTATACAATCGAGTACTATGCTTTCTACCTGACAACTTAATGTAACACCTACACCACCGAGTTGACAGCAGACAGTCATCAAATGTCCAGACAACCGTATGGTGAATTGTGTAGATCCACGACATTGGTAAGACGAGATCAGACGAATAATCACACTCCACTCCTGTATGTGTGTCTCACTACCACAACACTCATCCATGACTCGAAATTCTAGTCTTTGCAACAAACGCCTTTCATCCGATTTGGAATAGAGTTCAGTCGTTGAAAGCTCCAATGTGAAGTTGGCAGCGTGCTTTCAAAAGACTAGCGGAGGCGTTTCGCTGGCTCGAATCACTGGCAATGGTCAAAGAGTGAGAGCTCAAAGGGACTTTAAGAAGCTTCATATCAGTTTAAAAAAACGAAGACAAAGCAGGAAACAAAGGTAATTAAGGCGTGTTACGGGTTAGTTGAGTTTTGTATACTGATGGGAGCGTGCTAGTGGTTACTAATTCCTGGCTGCATACACCGTAGAAGTCCTTTCTGTGAGGTATCCAAAAGAAAAAGGGAATTGGTAACAGTGGTATGTCACCGTAGACCTAATAGGGCATCTGCTTGGTGTCTGTCACACACAGCATATTTAAGTTTGATGGATCTAGATTCGGCTATTCTACCCTCCGACAAGAAACATCCATATCACCGGCACCCGAATACCGCAGCGTACGCAGGACTTTACTTTTCTTAGAGGCTTCCGCCTTATAATCCTCTCCCCGTTCCCATATGGACGGCAACATCAGTACAGACTGCTGACCACCTGTGGGAAGCATTCTGCTGCTGTCCTGTCCTGTTAATTCAGCTGTACGACTTTATTCGGTAGAAACCCGGATCATCGTGTGGCAATTCACATCACAACGGTGACTTCATTTTGTCTTGCCCCTATCCAACGTACTTATCTAGTGTAGTAGCACCTCAGTAAATAAGTTATCCAGTCAGTGTAGCTCGCTGATTCACTTTGACGTGCAAGCCCGACCACAAAGTCAGAGTAGCAGCTATTCGTTAGAATAGACATATCCGCAAAACGTCGAGGTTTAACATGAATGAAGATAATTACTGTTAGCCAATATTTATAATTGAGAGATTGATACAGTTCACATTCAGCATACTTTCAGAGCAAGACAAACACACCTGAGTTACATTGTGAAAACACCTACCTTTATTTGTGCAAGCAGCTGATAAACTTCTTTTGTAATGCATCGGTGTGATTGATCGCCAACCTTCCTCTCGCTGGGCAATATCAAGAAAGCATACTGTGTTCAGCCTTTCGCTACCATCGAAACCACCAATAACATACATACAAGTGCCTAAAGAACAGGCTGCTACATAACGGTAACTTCCCGGTAAGTCCTAAATAGTGAGAAAGTAAAAACCAATTGTAAGATTTATTATAACTCTCCATATTTACAAAATAATAATGATAAACAATATTTTTTTATGCGATGGATTGTAAGCTAAACGATTGCCACTATCAGCTAACGCCAACTAGATAAAGAATAATCCAATGAGTGCCAAACAGCTGGTTAACTACATAGTTTGAAATTGTCTATAAAAATCACGCGAAAAACAGTATTTCCCCTACCAAGTAGCTATTATTTTTATGATCCTGAGATTATGTTGTAATATCGCTGAAAAGTGTTCAGACGATAGGGTACCATGGAGAAGGTTGAAGTGTGTTTGAACCAGCGTTTACCCCTTGCTCAACCAGTAGACCACAGTATTGTAACTCACTCCGTCTACTCCGGCCTTAACCACTAAGTAACACTACTCATCCTCAAAGAATAAGTGTATCCTGTAACCCAGTACATGAACCTGTAAGCAGCTGTTTAGCTACGTACTCAATGATTTGACAGTAATAGTCTACTAGTGGGTGTGATTTATAGTGGAGTTGCATGTTTGATTATATTACCCGCTGTGTGACGATTGAAGGTGAAATGAAAATCTGAGTTGCGGCAGGGTTCGAACCAAGTCTTCATTTCACCTCCAATTATCCCATAGACTGTCATAACAGTTTCTTGATAAGATCAAAAAATCTATAACAAGTTTCGGTCAACGTCACCATGCACACAGTCTCTCAGAAGACTGCTAATCAACATTAATCTCAGTCCCTTTCATCCTTGGAACCGACTGCACTAGTTGTGGAAACACTGAAGTGGTGTTTTGGGTCTTACTAACTCTTTTACTTCTTCTACTATAATGGAATGCATATAACATCGGAGTAATCACTATAAAGACAATATTGGTGGCGTCTCGAAATATGGCCAGCCAGGTTCAGTTTAAGTGAAAACTCAATTTTCTTATTTTCGAAGTGAACATGAAGATGTTTCATACTACTATCCAAGAACAGATACGTGCGTGATCAATCTAAAATACTAGCTAAATATGAAGATATTTAAAACAGTGTGGCAATCAGTATAATTGTTTTTATATCATACCGTCGTTGATTGGACCAAATTGACCGATCTTTATTGGCATATGGGCTCCTGTGCGAAGGCCTTGATATTGCCTGTGTTCTAATTATATTGATATAGCCACGACAGTATGATATAAAAACAATTAAACTAAAACTATACCCGTCGCACAAGAAGTGGCTATCGTGGCTCGGTGGTGTAGTAGACGACGCCCTGGTGTTTGAAGCGATTGCTCCCGAGCCTGAGCCCCGGTGGGAACACATCACTCACTGGGAAGCAGGTATATGCAGCTGACGAGTCCCAAATAGGACGAAATGCGCATCCTGGATTCCACTGCTAGCCACGATCCATCATTAGTGTGGCAATCGTTAACTAGTCTCTTTCAGTAATTTCTAATGACCGGTCATTACATCCTCGAAATACACCAGTGAATCAGCAGTGGTTTTTGATTCAACCGTTCTATTACCAACCCAGGAGAGGAAACATACCGGTGAATATACCTTGTTTTGGTTTCAGAGATTTCTAGAAGTTTGAAAATATGTTATGACCAAGTAGGCCACCCACCTAAGGGTAAGCAGTTACGCGTGTACTCTTAAGGCCTAGTCTAGGTATACCAATCAAGCGATGAACTATCATTGTTACGTCACGATATGACGTGAAGGAACAGAGTATCGGTGTTAGGTGTAATGAACCAATCAGCAGGATGTAAATTTTACGTAAATTTTACGCTCGTCAGAAATGATGATAATTTACGCTCGAACTTCAGTTGTCTTTTCGAAGACTATTAACCAAACACATTACCGTGAAACTATTCTAATCATTACTAACAAACTCAATGGTACACCGTTGCTCAGTTACATTATTAGACAGATTTTACTATCGAGTTTTTTGGTGTTAGCAGCTAAATACGTAAATTTTGTAATAATGGATAGCTTAAAAGAAAAGCCATGGTTAACATCTACATTATGTAATTTTTTAGGAGGCTAACAATTGAGTAAAACCCTGGAATATCACGTGATTTCCTAGACATTTACTTGTCAAGTATCTGCTTTCTGTCAAATTATATCAGTAGAGAAAGAAATAAACAGAGGTCGAGCAATTTAGCCCCGTATAGCAACGAAAAATCACAAGTATCAAAACAACATCTAATACCCGTTGCGCAAGAGGTGGTTATCGTATCACAGTGGATTACGCTCTGGGTGTGAAGAGACGGGTGTTGGGTTTGAATCCCAGTAAGAAGAACATTACTCACTGAGGTGCAATTACATCTAACTGATGAATCCTAAATAGGAGGAAACGGCGATCGAACTCAACAATCAAACACAGGTTTGCGTGCTAGACGTACGTCTTTTGTGAGAACTGGACGATACAAGACTTATCGGAACCTCTGGAAAAATGTAAGTGTAAATAGAATTCAATGTTATAGATATCAGTGGGTAACGAAATAAGAGAGCGAATAACATGGAAACCAGAAACCAATAACAAGATAATCGACAGTTATCAAGATAGACATTTTAATTTGACCTAAGTAATGTAAACAACCTAAGTTAGTTATATATGTAGGAGACTGATGGACAGGCGCACAAACACTTTAACTTACAGGCAATTCACTCCAATCCAAAGTACGAGGATTAAACATTTCCACAGAGTCTGAAGGATCTTGATCAGAACCGAAACCACCAATAACAACCAAATATTCATTACCACCATCACGTTGACAAAATCGCCAATCACGCATTTCATGTCGTAGATCTGGACGTAAATGATAGCGTTTAGCATCGTCTACCAAATCTCGACATTCCAAAGATTGCCGAATTAAAGGCTAAGATTTAAAAGTTGCAAGTTTGACAATAAGTCTCATGAGTAAAACCATAGTAAATTATTATTAAAATGGTTCGCTTATATCAAAAATACCAAACCAAGAGATTGCACCATAATACATAAATATAATACTTGATGACTGTGAGTAATCCAAGCTGCTATCTACAATTCCCAAGTGATTCAGTTTCTTCATTCTGTACAACAGTTTTGAAAAATATCCTCCAGGCGGACAAAACTCTACTTTTAAAGTCAAACCTACTCAAGAATGTAAAATTAACCCTGTCATGCAAACCTACCATCAAAATCATTACTACAGTGAGAAAATAAACATGGTAGAACAAGGGCATCAAGAAATTTACCACACAAAATAATATAACACTATTTTGAAGACATAAAGTCAAGGGAAGTGGATAAAAAGAAAAACAACACAATAGAACATAACTTCAGGATCAAAGTTTGACCCAGTAACGTTGAATAAGTTGAGCATTGGGTAAATGGATTATAAATGAAATATATCTGTAAAATCCCAATGAAGTAGAAAAATATTTCTACTTCATTGGGATTCTACAAATATATTTCATTTATAAAAATAGAATGATCAGAAGACCAGTTCAGTTAGATACATTCAAAACAAAACGTCTACTACTTTTCAACAACAGACGAAAGGGAGCTACAGAATGACCACCACTGGTTTCCATTCTAAGCAATATTTGATAGCCTCTCAAGCCACTGAGTTGTATGATCTCTCACAACCCAACCACAGAGTCGTGATGCACCAACAGATGCTAACCTAATAACAACTATCTTTCATACCACGGCACCACGTCCTACACCGGCCAAACATCCGCATCTTCCATCCAGTCACACGACTAGCAAACAGCGAAAGGTAAGGATGACATGTGTAGCACATGTCCAGGCCACTGAAGCCAGTCTTGACCGATAGCTGCTACCTTGACGTGGTGGTCGGGCTTGCATATCACAATGACCCAACGAGCTATGCTGGTGGAACGCTTGTTCCCTCGAGGTCCTACCATACCAGAAAGGTCTGTTGGGTAGTGGTTAGACGAAAAGCAGTTACCGTCATAGTGTAAATTGCTACACTATGATGGGGGTCTGAGGGCGAAGTCGTACTGCTGCTAGCTGGATGGGGTGTGACAGCAGTAAGGTGTTTCCCTTGGATGACCAGCAGTGCCAAGCTGATGCTGCCTTCTCAGTGGAAGGGGGGGTTAGAAAAGGTCGGCCCCAAAAATAACACACTCCACCACGCCCCACGGTCTGCCGGGCCGGCGGTGTTGGTTCACTTGTCGTTTCCTTTCGACCATCCGGCCCCAAAAATACAAAAATTCAAAATAATCATACTCAAAAGGCTGGGTGTGACAGGCCTCAAGCAGATGTCCGATGGGCTCTGCGGTCACACAAATCTCTTTCAGGTACCTTAAGAAGAAATAGCCTTCCACGGTGTGGGCAGCCGGGAAGTGTCAACCGCCCTCACAACTCTGTCAGCACCCAAGTTTCTTCTGACTGCTATCCTCCTCCTCCATCATTACCTTCTAATCTTCCTTCACGTCTCTTAATTAATGATGCTGCATCATCTTCAATTTCTCCTACCTCTGCAGCCTTCGACAACGATCTGAGTCCACAGAACAGTGTCCCTGGTCTCCTTAAACCACGCTCCAAATTACATATTGGAGCCTTCAATGTCCGCACCCTCCGTCAAATTGGCCAACAGGCTTCGTTGGCAAAGACTCTAGCAACTCGGGCATGGATGTGTGCTGTGTTTGTGAGACACGCATACAGGACCCAAGTGTGGTTATTCACCTGACCTCTCCTGACCAATCTGGTGAATCTGCAAAATTCACCCTTCGAGTTTCTGGAGATTCGATAGCTAGCTCTCGTGGTCTTGCAGGTGTAGGTATAGCATTAAGCACCAGGGCAGAAAACTCACTACTAGACTGGATCCCAGTTGATAGTCGCCTCTGCGCTATGAGGCTGAACGGCACAGTGAGAACTAAAAGGAATAGTGAGACTCGCCGTTGTCTCTTTGTAATCTCTGCTTACGCACCCACTGACTGTAGTTCGGATGAAGTGAAGGACGAGTTCTACCATAAACTGTCTAACCTCCTCTCGAAAGCCAAACGTTCGGACGTAGTGGTTGTTGCAGGTGACCTCAACGCACAGGTGGGTAGACTGAGTGAGGCAGAAAGGCACTTAGGTGGCACTTTCGGAATCCCAGCTGAACGTACAGATAACGGTGATCGCCTATTACAACTATGCTCAGATAACCGCCTATTTTTAGCCAGCACAAATTTCAGACATAAAGAAAGGCACTGTCTGACCTGGCGTCCACCGAGCTCGACTCAGCGATGGACACAGATAGACCACATTGCTATTAGTCATCGCTGGAGAGGATCGGTGGAAGACTGCCGCTCCTTCTGGAGTACGTGTTTGGACAGCGATCATGCGTTGGTCCGAGCACGTATATGCCTGCGTCTCAATGGACGTAGAAAAAATTTGGCAACAAAACCACTACGAGTTCTGCTGGACAACGAAAACACCAAAGCCGTGTTCAGTGAGAAGTTGGCTAGGCAGTTATCGGAACAAAAGACTGTCACTCATCCAGAAGAAGCTTGGTGCCATCTTCAGTCTACTGTAAAAGCAGCACTGGAGACTGTAGCCGACTCCAAGATAATGGCTAAAAAGAGCCAGTGGATATCAGCAGCTTCTTCCAAACTAATGGATGCACGTGAATGCATCCCTGCAGGCTCTGAGTACAATGAAGAGCGAGCGCAACTTAAAAATAAACTGACGAAAAGTCTGCGCAACGATCGTGAACAGTGGTGGGCAGCAAAGGCTAAAGAGATGGAAAAGGCAGCGGCGATCGGTAACAGTAGACAGTTATTTAGACTTATTAAGGAGACTGGGGGGAAATGGTCAACAACAGTTAGTGAGGTTATAGCGGAGAAGGACGGATCGGCGATTCACTCGCAGGGAAGGCGACTGGGACGATGGGCAGAACACTTTGAGGAACAGTTTAACTGGCCTCCAGCCACCATTGCGCTGCCCGCTATCCAGTCGGACCCTGAATGGGACATAGAGACAGGTCCCCCAACACTAGAAGAAGTTGAGAAAGCGGTAGGTAGCCTGAAACGGGGAAGGGCAGCAGGACCAGACGGACTACCTGCTGAGGTATACAAGAATGGTGGTAGAGTTCTCTTAGTCAGGCTAACGGAAGTGTTAGCCAGTATATGGGAATCAAATACGATCCCCTCCGACTGGTCTAAGTCACTGATCATCCCAGTCTTCAAGAAAGGCGAGAAGTCCTCTTGTGATAACCACAGAGGAATCAGCCTGACAAACATAGTGTCTAAGATCCTAAGTTCTATAATTCTCCGACGCCTGAGTGGAGCTCGGGAACAGCAAGCCCGAGAAAACCAGGCAGGCTTTAGACCTGGCCGTGGATGTATCGACCAAATATTCACACTGCGCCAGGTCCTGGAACATAGGCATGCTTACAGACGCCCGACAATAGCTGTATTTCTCGACCTGAAGGCGGCATTTGACTCCGTTGATCGAGAAGTCTTATGGCAGTGTCTGTCACTGAAAGGCGTGCCTAGTAAGTACATCACCTTATTGAAAGCTCTCTACTCGAACACTTGTGGGCATGTTAGAGCCTATGGTGAGTTGTCCAGGGAGCTATACTCATCAAGTGGTGTCCGTCAAGGATGCCCACTATCCCCATTCTTATTTAATTTTATCATAGATATTCTTATGGAGGTTTCCCTCTCGTCACCTAATTACAAAGACGTTGACCGGACACAGGTGAATTTTCCTTAGATCTAGAATATGCAGATGACATAGTCCTGTTAGGTGAAGACGCTGACAAGATGCAGAGTCTTCTGAACACTTTGAGTGGGAATTTGAGAATGTTTGGGATGCGATTTTCACCACCCAAATGCAAATTTTTGCTCCAGGACTGGTCTTCAGCGGTACCGCGGTTAACAATAGAGAGTGAAGTGGTTGAGTGTGTTGACCACTTCACTTACCTGGGAAGTAGGATCAACTCCGGTGGGTTAGTTGCCGATGAGATTTCTGCACGGATACAAAAGGCTCGATTGGCTTTTGCCAATTTGCGCCACCTATGGCGCCGCCGTGATATTCGTTTGTCTATTAAGGGTCGCGTGTACTGCACAGCAGTCCGCTCTGTTCTACTGTATGGCTGTGAAACATGGCCATTGAAAGTGGAAGACATGAGAAGGTTACAGGTATTTGACCACCGTTGCCTTCGTAGTATAGGACGTATTCCGTGGTGTCACCATGTGAGTAATGCAGAAGTTAGGTGTAGAGTTTTAGGGAGAAGAGGTAAGTCAGTCGACGAGGTTGTGAACCTTCATCGACTGAGATGGTTGGGACACGTACTACGTATGCCTAGTCACCGATTGCCTCGTCACACAATGTTGGCTGAGGTGGGTTCAGGCTGGAAAAAGGCCCGAGGTGGCCAGACTAAAACATGGCACCAATGTATGAAGTCTCTGACTGTTGGTTTAAGCCATGTAGGACGATGCAGACTAGGTGGTTGGGGTCCACGGGACAAGAGGAACCAGTGGTTGGAGACCCTAGGTGATATGGCTCAGAACCGAAGTCAGTGGCGCAGATGTATACACACATTATCCTCATCTTAACAACGCTATACCGAATCTCACTATTTTGTCACTCCTCTTTCCTTTCTTCTCATACTTTATATTTCTTTTGACTGCATTCACTTATCTTCATCCTTCACCTCACTACCTTTTTACTTGATGTGCTGATATGAGGTGTGGCAACTCGGACCGTTACGCAGTAATGCCTGGTCCTATGTTGATAATGATGATGATGATGACTGAAGCCAGTGTTTTCAGATGACTTCACTCATTGAATGATGATCTCCATTATGCCCAAACACACACTGTCACACCTCGCATTACTTACATGGTCTCATCACCCAATACGAGCAATCATACACAG